CGCTCGCTGCGCTCGCTCGTGACAATTGTGATATCATCCCTCGAGCGATAAAACTGATATCACCTCATCCCTTATATGATAACCTATATATATATATATACCCGCGACAATTAGTCAAACTCCTGCCAAAGAGGCGCACGTTAAAGTATTAGCTTAATCTATGTGAGTTTGACTAATGGTCGCGGGTCGCGTGTCGCGGATAAAATGTCGCGGGTCGCGGGTAAAATGTCGCGGGTAAAAAGTCGCGGGTCGTAAAAAAGCTCCAAACCGTGTATTTTATTGAGTCGCGGGTTGAATAAAGTGTGTAAAAATCACGTTATCATTTAGTAAACAACTATATAGGATTGCTTCAATACGAAATATTGCCCAAGAGCCTTTTGTCGTGATTTAATGAGTTTGACTAATGGTCGCGTGTCGCGGGTACTGAATGTCGCGGGTAAAATGTCGCGGGTCGTAAATGAGCTCCAAACCGTGTATTTTATTGAGTCGCGGGTTGAATAAAGTGTGTAAAAATCACGTTGTCATTTAGTAAACAACTATATAGGATTGCTTCAATACGAAATATTGCCCAAGAGCCTTTTGTCATGATTTAATTGTTCTATATAAACGTGCCAGAAGTCTAAAACTTGAAAGAATAATTTCAATTATACCATGACAAAAACCCTCTAATCAAAAAATATGTTCTGAAAGAGACAAACAAGACTTTGGTAGAAATAAATTCAGTTTACCACTACTATTACAATCAGCCTATACCAATTTAAAAACAACCATATAGTATCACAAATAATAGATATATATGGCAGAAATTGGATGGTAATATGTATTACTAAAATCAGGACTATAAACATAGGAATGTGTAAGAAGATCCTTTTGCACTACCGTCTATCAACGTGCTTTACAATAATGTTATATATAGTTACGGGAACCACTGAGTATTTTAATAAAATACAAAAGGACAGTAACTCCAAATAACATTTTGTAGCTTTAATGAATCTACGTTTCGACTATATTTTAGTCATCATCAGGACAGATTAGTGTAAAGTTACAAATACTGA